GCTGGGATCAAACCCACAACTTTTTGTATGGGAGTTGGTTGCTTTAACAAGAAGGCTAAAGACCATGGCCTCTATCTGTCACTAGAGCACCCTCTGAGGTCAGTAAAGTGAGGTAATGGAGGCCAGCTAGCGAAGATGTTTGTAGTCTTTGGCTGGTTTATTATTTAAAAAAGCAAACATTTAAAGGTGCTGCATGTACGTTTTTACACTCCAAAAACATAAAAGTGCCACAATATGTTTGCAGATCTTTAGGAAACATGCTAAGTGAACATACTTAATAATAATAATAATAATAATGATAATAATAATAATAATAATAATGATAATGATAATAATAATAATAATAATAATAATAATGATAATAATAATAATAATAATAATAATGATAATGATAATAATAATAATAATAATAATAATAATAATTCCTTACAATTATATAGCCCTTTTCTGGACACTTAAAGCGCTTCATACATTTTTGGGGGAATCTCCTCATCCACCACCAGTGTGCAGCATCCACCTGGATGACACAACAGCAGCCATATTGAAGCAGACCACACACCACACACCAGCTGATTGGTGGAGAGGAGACAGAGTGATGAAGCCAATTATGATATGAGAACGGTTAGGAGGCCATTTGGGTAAATGTGGCTTGGATGCCAGGCCAAAACCCCTACTCTCTTTTTTTTGTTTGTTTTGAAGGATTTTTTACAACCATAGAGAATTAGGACCTCAGTTAAATGTCATTGAGCAGTATAGAGTCCCCTTCACTATACTGGGGCGTTAGGGGCCCACACAGACTGCAGGTTGAGCGCCCCCTGCTGGTCTCACTAACATCACTTCCAGCAGCAACCTAGCTTTCCCATGTGGTCTCCCATCCAGGAACTGACCTAGGTTCAGTGGGCAACCATGTGAGAATTGCAGAGAGCTGTACCGTATCGGAATGTCTGTCTATGTTTTGGTCTCTATAACCAGCCCGCTGCAGGTTTCCCCAATTATGTCTCTGCAAATATTATATCATTAATTATATTTGTAAATCAGTTTTATTTAAAGTACTAAATCTTGATTTCTAAATTTTCTTGATTATAGTTATGGACAAATGACAAAGACATTGTGCTATGTACAGTGTTTAGAAAAAAAGATTCATGTTCTGCAGAAAACTACCAGTACACTTTACCTTAAATTTACAGACGTTTTTCTTCTTTTTGTACAATGTGAAGGTGTAATGCAGAATTCAAAATCACAACTTTATTCAGTCATTCATTCATTTTCTTTACAACTTAGTCCCTTATTAATCTGTGGTCGCCACAGTGGAATGAACCACCAACTTATCCAGTATATGTTTTACGCAGCAGATGCCCTTCCAGCTGCAACCCATCACTGGGAAACACCCATACACACTCATTCACAAACATACAGATGATTCAGCATAGCCAATTCATCTAAAGCGCATGTTTTTGGACTTGGGAAAACCGGACCACCCGAAGGAAACCCACACGAACATAGGAAGAACATGCAAACTCCACACAGAAATGCTAACTGACCCAGCCAGGGCTTGACTTTCTTGCTGTGAGGCGATTGTGCTACCCACTGCGCCACCGTGCCGCCCCCAAAATTGCTATTTCTAATATGCAATTCCCTTTCTTCAGTGAAAAATGTTTAATTAAAACTCCAGTGCCCTCAGAGTTTAGTAATATCTAATAATATATTAAGTTAACATATGTGTGACTTTCAGGCAAGTGTCGACTGCGATGAAGCTGGATTTTAAGATTCAAATGTGTTTTTTTTAGTGAAACTTTTTTATAAAGAAAGGGAAAGCTGGCACGTGTTTTATATGCTAATTAATATTATGCAATTTATAAATACACTTTTGCTGCCTAAAGAGTCTTTTATTACATTTTATGTTATATTTTCTATTTGTGCTGTCATTGTGTTTTTGACATTCAATTACAGTGTTTCATGACACTGTTAAACAATCATTAAATAGAGAATAATCAATTATTAATACATGTGTGGCTTTTTTTTTTACATTAGGTGTGTGTGTGTGTGTGTGTGTGTGTGTGTGTGTGTGTGTGTGTGTGTGTCCAGAAGGTATCACTTTTCTCTGTTGTCCTACAAAACAGCATCTGTTTGTAAACATCCGGGTAACAGTAACACCTCTCTCTCTCTGACACACATACACACACCTTGGTTGGCCTACACAGAATATAATAAAATAACAAAAATATAATAAAATGAAATTAAACAAATGAATTCATTAGTACAGCAACAAATGATGTTATGATCGCAGCGGCGTTACTGTCTCTTTAAAAATCCCGAAGCGTGACGTCACATATTTTGACAGGACGACGGAGAAACCGGATCCGCCGCTGACAACAATAACAACAAACGGAGAGATGCGTTGCGGATCGCCGCGTCCCGGTTGGTGAGATGCCGGTAACGGATCGGAGAAGATGCGGCGCATGTTCGAGCTGCTGGCGCGCGCTGCTGCTCGCCGCATCCGCGCTCGTGCTGCTGACGGAACGCGCGGCGCGTGAGTGACAGACTGCACCTCATTCATCACTATTTTACCTTGAAACATTATATACTCACATTTCACTATACCGAGCTTCACATAGAACCATGTACATTTATCAAAATCCGTGATACACTTAAAAACACGGTATTACTACAGTGCGGCATGTCTAAAATACCATGGTACGTGTTCTGAAATGAGGTAAAACCGTGGTAGTTTTCGGTGGTGACGTGTTGAGTGCTGTTATTGACGAGCTTTGGTGTGCATGATGCAACTGGGTTCTGAAATTATAGGGATACCATGGTAATACCGTGTTTTTCTTGAAGAAACGGGAAATGTGTATTATTGTAGTTTATGAATTCAGATAGAGGGGAAATGTTCAGTATTTATTCGATTTATTAGGCATGTGCTGAGTAAACTGTCAACATAACATCTGTCTGTTTATCTATCTGTCTGTATATCTATCTGTCTGTCTGTCTATTTATTTACAGATCGGTCAATCTATGTCTATTTATCTATCTGTCTGTCTGTCTATTTATCTGTCTGTCTGTCTGTCTGTCTGTCTATCTATCTATCTATCTATCTATCTTTGTCTGTCTGTCTGTCTGTCTATCTATCTATCTTTCTGTCTGTCTGTCTGTCTATCTATCTATCTTTCTGTCTGTCTGTCTGTCTGTCTATCTATGTGTCTGTCTGTCTATCGATCTATCTCTGAAGTTTTTTTTTTGTCCAAGTTTCTTACAGAAATACTGTCATTTAGAGCATTTTTTCCTGAATATAACCAATATTTTCATTTGTGGTGATTGAAAATCATTGTAATTCCATTTAATATCAATGTTAACTTTTCTGTTGTTAACATTCTCTAAACCATTGATATAGTGTTGTCTAAAAATCGCTGAAACTAATATAAATGGCATTTTTTGTGTGTGTTTTATGGCAGAAAAGCTGTAAAAGACAGCACTTACATTTTATAATTGAAATAAATGCCATCAATAGTTTACAGAATAAATAATTTTTTTACTCCAGGAAAAAAAGTAAATGAACAGGTTGTCTTTTATCCTTTTTTCCTAACTCTCTCTCTCTCTCTCTGAGTGTGTGCGTGTGTGTGTGTGTGTGTGTGTGTGTGTGTGTGTTTGTGTGTGCGTGCACGCTAAAATGATTTAAAAAAAATTTACATACAAAAAAGAGAGACAATATAATAATTTTTAGAATAATAATACATGTGTGTATGCACATTATAATATTAAACGTATACACTCACCAGCCACTTTATTAGATACACCTTACTAGTATACTGTGATCATAAAGGGATGGACTTGGTAAGCAACAATACTCAGGTAGGCTGTGACGTTGACACAATGCTCAGTTGGTGCTAATGGGCCCAAAGTGTGCCAAGAAAATATCCCCCACACCATTACACCACCAACACCAGCCTGAACCATTGATACAAGGCAGGATGGATCCATGCTTTCACGTTACTGATGCCAATTTCTGACCCGACCATCTGAATGTCGCAGCAGAAATGGAGACTCATCAGACCAGACAACGTTTTTCCAATCTTCTATTGTCCAATTTTGGTGAGCCTGTGTGAATTGTAGCCTCAGTTTCCTGTTATTAGCTGACAGGAGCGGCACCCGGTGTGGTCTTCTGCTGCTGTAGCCCATCTGCCTCAAGGTTGGATGTGTTGTGTGTTCAGAGATGCTCTTCTGCAGACCTCAGTTGTATCGAGGGCTTATTTGAGTTACTGTTGCCTTTCAGCTGCAAACAGTCTGGTCATTCTCCTCTGGTATCAACAAGGCATTTGCGCCCACAGAACTGCCGCTCACTGCCTAGATATTTTCTCTTTATCAGACCATTCTCTGTAAACCCTAGAGATGGTTGTGCGTGAAAATCCCATTAGATTTGCAGTTTCTGAAATACTCAGGCCAGCCCGTCTGGCACCAACAACCATGCCACGTTCAAAGTCTCTTAAATCACCTTTCTTCCCCATTCTGATGCTCGGTTTGAACTGCAGCAGATCGACTTGGCCATGTCTACATGCCTAAATGCATTGAGTTGCTCCCATTTGATTGGCTGATTAGAGATTGGCGTTAACAAACAGTTGGACAGGTGTACCTAATAAAGTGGCCGGTGAGTGAATATGTAGTTTTATAGCCTAACTTGATGCTTTCCTCATATATATATATATATATATATATATATTTTTTTTTTTTTTTTTTAGGATTCAACATATTATGTATGATATGATTATTAAAATATAATCTGGAAAAGATTTTAAGTTCCTCTCCACTGATAGAAAATTCCTAAATGTACAAATCTGTACGGAAGCAGTTTTAGTTTAAATAAACATACTAGAAAGGTGCTTTTCAAAATAAATATGATCCCAATAACAGATTTAGAGATTGGTGAAAACCTCCGAAATGACACAATCACCGTTTTGATGGCATTTACAGCTTAACCTGGATTTTAAAGTGCTATAATCTCCTCCGATCTCACTGTGCTTCTGTTATGGCAGTCGTTGTGTGTATAATCTGATGTGCAGATGTGGATGTTGTTAACTCTCTGTCTTTCTTCTTCATCAGTGGTCTGCTGTGTGGCCTTTTACCTGTGGCAGGAGCAGTTGTGTTTCGCCGGTTGGACCTTTGCGCTCTTGTTGCCCGGGTCACTGGTGCAGGTGTTGAGCTTCAGGTGGTACAGAGCCGACGGAGACACACACACGTGCCACAACTTCATCATACACACACTCCATCTGGGCATCTTCAAAAGGTGAAATGTTCTGGCTTTTGCTCTCTTTTCTTCATAAACACTACCTGACACAAGTCTTGTCGTGGATCCCAGTTGTAAGAGCAACATATAATAACCTGACTTCTAGTTGATCGTTTGGAAAAGTGTCAGAAGATGGATTTTTTTGATGAATCATCTGTTGAACTGCATCACAATCATCACAAATAAGATTCAGACCTATAAGATTTATCCATTTCTAGCATAATTTCTTGCAGTGTCAAATCCTGATTTCCTAAAAGAGTCTCATTCTATTCTCTGTGTGTGTGTGTGTGTGTGTGTGTGTGTGTGTGTGTGTGTGTGTGTGTGTCAGGTTTTGGGACTGTGCTGTGTGTGAATGGACTTCTCCAGGCTCAGCAGGCTCTCATGCACAGGAAGTGATGCAACAGGCGGATGTGTCTGCTCTGCGTCTGCTGGAGGTGTTGCTGATGACCGTCCCGCAGACGCTCCTGCAGACCTACGCCCTCACCGTGACAGACTACGGCCTCTCCTCACCAGGTCAGTCCAAAAACCCTCTGTCAATACAATCAATGCAGTATTGCATGGCCAGGGCCAGATCTTCAGGTTTACAGCAGAAGCTCCAGACTCCATTTTTTGTTATTGTTTTGTCTAGTGGCGGCACGGTTAGCACTGTCGCTTCACAGCAGGAAGGTCACTGGTTCGAGTCCCGGCTGGGCCTCTTGGTGTGAAGTTTGCATGTTCTCCCCGTGTTGGTGTGGGTTTTCTTCGGGTGCTCCGCTTTCCCCCACAGTCCAAACACATGCTCTATAGGAGAATTACCGGTTTGTAAACATATGGTGAAATAGTTGGCGGTTCATTCCACTGTGGAAACCCGTGATAAATAAGGGTGCTTTCACACCTACACTTTTGTTTCGGAACGTATCTCGTTTGCCCAGTTAGCGCGGTTCGATTGGCATATGTGAACAGGGCAATCACGCTCTGTTCCGCGCCAAAGTAATCGCTCCGAGATCGCTTGAATGAGGTGGTCTCTGCTCGATTGAAACGAACCCTGGAGCAGTTCGATTGCAGTGAGAAAGTGATCCGATCCGAGCGCGGTTATATCACAGTGTTTTATGGATATGTAATAGGCTTACGGCGATATGAAGAGAGAATTATAAGTATGGCGGGAAGTTTCGCGAGTCTCCGGATGCCCGCAAACGAGTGATAATCTTCCGGTAATCTCGCGTCTCCCTCCCAGTCCTCACATAGGCATCGTCGCGCACCCTTCTCACCCCTCCCCACCGCATCTTTCCTCAGACACGTCGCGCGCGCACCCTGTCAATCACCACCAAACCACCACCTCTCCTGACAGCTGAGCGGGACGCTGCAAAATAAACCCTGACACTCTGACCAATGTAAGGAGAGTTTCCCTGCACGTGACTTGTTTTAGCTCTTTTGGTCCGATTAGAAACTTTGCAGTGTGAAAGCGACCCGCTCCAAGAGCAAAGAGCAACAATGTAACAATTGTAATCTCTGTTTCGGAACAACTGAATCGATTCACAGGTGTGAAAGCACCCTAAGACACTAAGCTGAAGGAAAATGAATGAATGAATGAATGTTTCCTGCAATTATTCTAGTTCAGCGCATAAATCTGATTCGCATCTTTAAATGTAAACTAAGAAAATGTCACTTCCAAAGCAGTGGCCCAATCAGAAGAACTTGGAGGCGGGGCAAGTGTTGCAGGCTTCCTGCCAACATTCAGATCATAAAATCCGGGGGTGTGCGCAAAGTGAAGAGGGGGGGAATGGTCCGCGCGAACTGAAGAGCGGAGAGTGGGTGTGAAGATGGTTTTGTGTTGGGCGCACACGGGGACAGTACAAAAAAGCTGAGGAGCGTGGGGTGGGGGGCGGGTGACAGAACAATACGGGAGAAGGGCAAGAGATGGGTCTGAAATACAGGAGACTCCCGGGATTGTTGGCAGGTACGGGCTTCTGTTTACCGGTGGCAAGTTGGTTTTATTTGATAGCAACATGCCGTTGAGGATATTTTCTTAATTTACTAGAGTTTTCTGTAATTGCAAGTGTTTTTTTTATTATAGAACGTGAAGCTCTTTCGGCCACCGTAATTTTGTGATTTACAGTTTTAAGTTTTTAAAATCTTAAAACCAAATTTAAAGCCAAAGACTATAGGAATACACAAGACGTGTCACTCGTATAGTTGTGAATGGGGGAATCTGTAATGGTCAATATGGCAAATGAAGCCTTACCTACTAGTACAGGAGCCAATCATCGATCTCGAGCCAAGATTCTCCTTTTGGAAAGTCCTTTCGAGTGCACATGCAATGCATTAGCTCGGGCATCCTGAAAAAAATGCAGATTTTGTTTGATTCAAACTTTTAGAAACAAAACTTGACAGTTGTTGCTTCATTTTATTGGTGATTCTAAATATGTAATGTAATAATAAGTTTGGCAAACAGTTTTGAAGAATTTGGTGTTTCCCCATTCAGACAGAATGCCCGAGCATACTGCACGAGAGGCATTTCAAAGATGGCCGCCGAGTAAAATGACTTTCCCTAAAGGGACTTTGATGTAACTGGGAGATAATAATTGTATTGTGTGCTCTCCTCCCCTTTGTGTTTCTGTCTGCAGTGGCTCTGTGCAGTGGTGTGTGTCTGCTGTCTCTGTCGTGGGCGCTGGTGCTCTACAGTCGGGCCTGTTGTCTGATTCGTCCTGGGCATTTGCAGATGCCGCCGGCGGCTCTCCTCAGCCAGCTGCTGTGGAGAACGGGCATGTTAGCGGCCCGCTTCACCAGCCTCGCCCTGTTCACCCGCACCTTCGGCTGCTGGCTCATCGGGGTCATCGGTGAGTCTGAGACACAGGAGATTATATACATGCACATGGTCAAGTTTTGTTGAAGTTAAAGTCTGAATTATTAGCTCTCCTGAATTAATATCTCCTTTGTATATTTTCCCCCGAATTTCTGTTTAACGGAAAGAAGATTTCTTCAACACATTTCTAAACATAATAGTTTGATAACTCATTTCTAATAACTGATTTATTTTATCTTTGCTATGATGACAGTATATAATATTCGACTAGATATTTTTCAAGACACTTCTCTTGCACGCCATTACTCTGCCTCTCTCGCTCCAATACTCGACGTCTCTCCTGTGCCAATACTCGGCCTCTCTCCTGCGCCAATACTCGGCCTCTCTCCCGCGCCAATACTCGGCCTCTCTCCTGCGCCAATACTCGACCTCTCTCCCGCACCAATACTCGGCCTCTCTCCTGCGCCAATACTCGGCCTCTCTCCCGCACCAATACTCGGCCTCTCTCCCGTGCCAATACTCGGCCTCTCTCCCGTGCCAATACTCGGCCTCTCTCCCGCGCCAATACTCGGCCTCTCTCCCGCGCCAATACTCGGCCTCTCTCCCGCACCAATACTCGGCCTCTCTCCCGCACCAATACTCAACCTCTCTCCTGCACCAATACTCGGCCTCTCTCCCGCGCCAATACTTGACCTCTCTCCCGTGCCGATACTCGACCTCTCTCCTGCGCCAATACTCGATCTCTCTTTCACACCAATAATTGACCTCTCTCCCGTGCCGATACTCGACCTCTCTCCCGCACTAATACTCGGCCTCTCTCCTGCCCTAATACTCGGCCTCTCTCCCGTGCCGATACTCGACGTCTCTCCCGTGCCAAAACTCAGCCTCTCTCCTGCGCCAATACTTGGCCTCTCTCCCGCGCCAATACTCGGCCTCTCTCCCACCCCAATACTTGACCTCTCTCCCGTGCCAATACTCGCCCTCTCTCCTGCCCCAATACTCGACCTCTCTCCCGTGCTGATACTCGGCCTCTCTCCCGCACCAATACTCGGCTTCTCTCCCGTGCCAATACTCGGCCTCTCTCCTGCGCCAATACTCGGCCTCTCTCCTGCGCCAATACTCGGCCTCTCTCCTGCGCCAATACTCGGCCTCTCTCCCGCACCAATACTCGGCCTCTCTCCTGCGCCAATACTCGGCCTCTCTCCCGCGCCAATACTCGGCCTCTCTCCCGCACCAATACTCGGCCTCTCTCCCGCACCAATACTCAACCTCTCTCCTGCACCAATACTCGGCCTCTCTCCCGCGCCAATACTTGACCTCTCTCCCGTGCCGATACTCGACCTCTCTCCTGCACCAATACTCGACCTCTCTTTCACACCAATAATTGACCTCTCTCCCGTGCCGATACTCGACCTCTCCCCCGCACTAATACTCGGCCTCTCTCCTGCCCTAATACTCGGCCTCTCTCCCGTGCCGATACTCGACGTCTCTCCCGTGCCAAAACTCAGCCTCTCTCCTGCGCCAATACTTGGCCTCTCTCCCGCGCCAATACTCGGCCTCTCTCCCACCCCAATACTTGACCTCTCTCCCGTGCCAATACTCGCCCTCTCTCCTGCCCCAATACTCGACCTCTCTCCCGTGCTGATACTCGGCCTCTCTCCCGCACCAATACTCGGCGTCTCTCCCGTGCCAATACTCGGCCTCTCTCCTGCGCCAATACTCGGCCTCTCTCCCGCGCCAATACTCGGCCTCTCTCCCGCACCAATACTTGACCTCTCTCCCGTGCCAATACTCGGCCTCTCTCCTGCCCCAATACTCGGCCTCTCTCCCGTGCCGATACTCGGCCTCTGTCCCGCACCAATACTCGACGTCTCTCCCGTGCCAATACTCGGCTTCTCTCCTGCCCCAAAACTCAGCCTCTCTCCCGTGCCGATACTCAGCCTCTGTCCCGCACCAATACTCGACGTCTCTCCCGTGCCAATACTCGGCCTCTCTCCTGCGCCAATACTCGGCCTCTCTCCCGCGCCAATACTCGGCCTCTCTCCTGAGCCAATACTCGGCCTCTCTCCCGTGCCAATACTCGGCCTCTCTCTCTAAAGTCAGATTTACGAACATATTCACCTGATAAATTTGCCGTGCACACCTCCATTGAAAATAACGAACTTGCGCAACCTCTAGAAAAGGTGCAATATGCAAACGGCCACTAAAAGGCCGCCGTCCTTGGCGAATCTCCAGCAGTTGATCATCTTTTTGCACAGACATGGTGGATTCACCTGATTTGTTGACAAACGGGTTGCAGATCCATTCCTCTGCATTTTGTGGGTCCTCCTCTGGGCCTTTTCCCCCTAGCAAAGAATCTTTCCAAAGACGTCTTGTTTCTTACTCATTTTGCTGCTTGTGGGCTAAATTTAGGCAATTAAGTGACCGAGATGTAAGCGTGAGAATACAGTCATTTTTCTAAATAAAAGATCGTTCACTCGGATAATAAATAAAACAGAAATAATCAATGATTTATTGTGCGGCCCGTTACCGATTGATCCAAGAACCGATACCGGTCTGCAGCCCGGTGGTTGAGGATCACTGCTCTACAGCATTTTGTCAGATACCAAACACAATAATATCATTAACTCATCTCCCAATTCATGTGATGTATGCTTCTATTTCTCAGCGTCTCATTGGCTGATGGCAGCGCTGTGGTTGGTCTCCCAACAGACGGACATATATGTAGGCCAATGGTCATGGCGGGTGTTTAACTTCATTCTGGGAGGCGTTCATGTGTTTCTGTTCCTCAATGTGAAGGACGGTCCGTCCCGCTTCCGGATGGCAGGATTCTACACGGTACAATCACACTAATAATGTTGTGCTTTTTTAGATTTGGCTGTATTTGGGTTAAAGTCCACATGAACCAGAAGCTGCGACCGTTTTTTTTTTTTTTTCATATTGTGATATGCAGCTCCTAGGGAAATGGAATATTAAATGAGAAAACAGTGGGCGTGACTTGTTTTTCTACTGCGAGCTGATTAGATAAAGTAAAGTAGGCATTTTATAAAGAAAGATTGGGAAATGGGTTTCAGGAGAGTTCTTACAACCTAAAAGACACCTCCTGCTCAGCATTTCTGTTTGTTGTCAAAACTCAGAAAATACGTTGTTAAAGAGGGAGGAGATGATTTGATTAAAGGTTAAAAGGCACGTACATTAAAAAAAGTAATTATGTGCATGAATAAAGAATATGTGGATAAATCAACTTGTCACTTATATCAGATGCACCAATAGCTAACAAGAAGCATTTAATAAATTCTCTATGGCTAAAATCAAGACCCGCCTGCTTTTTAAAGTTGTTCAAGAAGCAGTTTCACTTCATTCATCATGGTAAGGCAAAAAAAAAAAACTACCACAACTTCCTTATGAGGCCAACTTTAAAAGTTTGGTGAACTTAAAATACACTTTTTCATTCCCTAAAAATGAGAAATAGTCAATTTGATTTGACTTCCGGGATGTGTTTTTGTGTAGCTGTTTGTTTAGGTAATAAAGCGAAGTTGTTTCTGTTGTTCCCATGTAGGTGATGCTGTTGGAAAATGCTACACTGCTATTGGCTGCGTCTGAAATTCTGATTGATGCATCATGGGATAGCCTGACCATCCCCACTGCTGTCCTGTGCAGCTTCCTGCTTGGTGAGAGTTTGTGTGCATCATGAGAGAGTGTATCGGTGTTTCCCAGTACTTGGTTGCAGCTGGAAGGGCACCGCAGCATAAAACGAATGCCGGAATAGTTGGTCATTCATTCCTCTGTGATAAATAAGGGACTAAGTCGATAGAAAATGGATAAATGAATTTGTAACTCTCTGTCTCTCTCAGGTCTGACGTCTCTAATATTATACTACCGCTTCCTGCATCCCAAGTCCACTGAAATCTCTCAGGGTCTGCATCAGCGCGCGCACATGGGCCGCGAGTGTCTCCAGCAGGCCGACTCCTCCTTCTCTCTGGGAGACAAACATCTTCCTCCGGCAGCTCTTCCGGTCCTCTTCCGTTCCTCCCACCCTTCCTTCTCTCTCTCCGGGATCCCAGGATCACTTCTGGAGCATCCCGGCAGCTGCGGCGTCAAGCCAGACGGAGAGTGTCGGCACCATCACTGGCTGCTCATCCGTCTGGCATTAAAAACAGGAGACCCGGTGAAAATCAACAGCGCTTACGGGGCAGGAGGAGTGTCTGGGATATTAGCGGTGGATCAGAAAGCGGAAATGATTGACGATGGGTGCATTTCCGCATCCGAGAGCCGGGACGATACGATGGCGCCGCTGTCCGACTGCAGGGAAGAGTTCGAGAGCATGAGCGAAGCTAAAGACGACGATGATGAAGATGACAGTCTGGAAATGGAGAGTCCTTTAGAGTCGCCGGTTACTTTATCAGACTGTAAACGCAGCTCGCCCGAGGGGAAGTCTGTTTTCGGGGACAGTCCGGAACCTAATTATTGCCCCACAGAATCCAGCTCTACGTTATACTTCAGTGCCGACCCGCAATCCCCGAGCAGCTCCAGTAATCCGCGTTTGGATCGAGAAACGCCGTTCAGTTTCGGGTCTGGAACTGGACTGGAGACTCTGGATGAGCTGAGCCCGATTTCTACAGATGGCGGCCTGCACAGGGATCTGGTCAGAGGGCTTCTGGGCCGGGCGGGTCCCTGTTACACTTCCGCACCAGGGTTAAATGGAGAGGCTTCGGGATCACTCCTCAGGGGCCCTCGCAGGCAGGTGGTTTTGTCCCGTAGGGGTCCTGAAGATGACGTTGGATTTTAAGGGGATAGTTCACCCCAAAAATTTAAATGTATTATTTATTTACTCAAGTGGTTTCAAACCTTTATGAGTTTCTTTCTTTCTGTTGAACTCTATTTTAAAACAATGTTGGAAACCTGTAACCATTGATTTTCTTAGTAGTTCATGATGGCTCAGTGGTTAGCACTGTCACATCACAGCAAGAAGGTCACTGGTTCGAGTCCCGGCTGGGTCAGTTGGCATTTCTGAGTGTAGATTGCTTGTTCTCCCTGTGTTAGCGTGGGTTTCCTCCGGAGTCCCTAACAGTCCAAACACATGCGCTATAGGTGAATAAGCTAAATTGGCCGTAGTGTATGACTGTGTGTGACTGTGAGTGTGTATGGATGTTTTCCAGTAGAGGGTTGCAGCTGGAAGGGCATCTGCTGTGTAAAATATATGCTGTATAACTTGGCGGTTCATTCCACTGTGCCGACCCCTAAGAGACTAAGCCAAAGGAAAATTTATGAATTAAAATAAATACTATGGAAGTCAATAATTACAGGTTTTCAGCATTTTTCAAAATATCTTCTTTTGTGTTTAATAGAAGAAAGAAAGGTTTGTAACATGAATAATGAGTAAATGCTGACAGAATAATTTTTGGTGAACTATCGCTTTAAGGTAGCGGTTCTCAATCCTGGTCCTTGCTCCCTGCTTTTTACCTCTATTATTTTTTAAATGTCTGCATGAACCAGAAGTTGCTAAGACTTTTATTTCAGTATGTTAATGTTTTCTACGTGAAGCGGAATATTGAGTAGGGGGCGGGGCTTTATTTGGGTATCATTCCCAGTTGTTGCTAGAAGGGATACAGCTGTGGCCGGCAGTTAACGATAAATATTTATATTATTTATTAAATGAATTAACTTTTTATGTTTTTTTAATTATTGTTCACTTTTTAATTATTTATTTATTCACAATTTTGAATTTTATTAACATCTTTCCCAACCCTAAAACCAACCCTCACATTAATGCAGATAAAATTATTATAAAGAGAATTATTTATATTATTTATCAAATGAATGAATTAACTGTTAATTTATTATTTATTTAATAATTAATTATTTAATTAATTGTATTTAATTAACATCAACCCCAACCCTCACAGTAATGCAAATAAAATAATTATAGAGAGAATTATTTACATTATTTATCAGATTAATTAACCGTTTAATTTATTATTTATTTATTTATTAATTATTTAATTATTTGTATTTAATTAACATCTACCCCAACCCTTACAGAAATGCAAATAAAATAATTATAAAGAGAATTATTTATAATATTAAATTATCCATGTAATTGTATTATATTAATGTCTACCCCCAAACCCAACCCTAAACCTGCTAGCAAAATAAACATGGTAAATTTAGATTTCGGACTGACTAAATGTTCCATGAAGTGCTTTGAAATGCACATTTTTTATTTAATGTTTGACGTAATCTGAAACATGAAGAGCGGGCGGGACATAGATTAGCTCCTCCCCTCAGCTCCCATCCAATAGCATTTTGTTTTGTGTTTGAAATCAAGTGCATCAAATGAAAAGCGGGTTAATTAAAGAAATAATAATGTGAGCTCGCAAAATAAACCTAGTACATTTTGATTTCATGTGGACTTTAACACACTGATTTATATTAGCAGCTAAGTAGAACAGAGCTCCAAGAAGTAACTGTATTGAGATCGACATGTTCCCTACATAGTGTTCACTGCTCCCTACACCCTGCACATGGGAATTCAGCTGAACGTGAAGTTTTCTTTATTAAAAAATAATAATAATAATCTGCGCTACACAACTGTTGTCAGCACAGTAGTGCAAAGGGACTGGGTCATGTGATTAGCATAGAAGTTATATCTATCACACGTTACCCTTTGAAATGAGCAAGCTTTCAAACTAGAATAATAGCAGAATATATCATGATGTCCACTTTAAAGGGCACTTACTGTCAAATGGAACAAACCTATGAAAGTGTGAGGACCTGGATTGTGAACCGCTGATTTAGGAGGACATTTTTTTTGTTTGTTTGTTTTTCAAAGCAGTTTTCAGTTTCACTATTCTAATGTGGGTGTGTCTTACACTTTATGCAAATGAGCTTCAGTGGCAACTACCAATGAGATGAGCCGAGTGAAGGAAAGGTGGAGTTTAAATGTCAATGTGACATTTTTTTTTGCTGTTGTGTGTGTGGTTTGTCTTTGCCCACATTCAGGGATTTATTTTAAATAAGTATAATAATAATGATGATAATAATAATTTGTGGACATTTGTGCGACGTTGATTGCATTCATCTTTTACAAAATGTGACACGTGTTTGTTATTATACACTGCTGGAATTTCTATACTTCTAACTTCTATATTTTTTTGCCCCTTCAGAATGTGAAGTAATATAAAAACATATTTGTGGTTAAATTAAAATAAGAATATGTTAGGTTTGGGGTCAGTAGAATTTTAAAAATGTTTTTATGCTCACCAAAGACACATGTATTTCATCAGAAATACAAGAACAATATTGTTAAATATTATTTTAATTCAAAATAACTTTTTAATTTGAGTATATTGAAAGATATAATTTAATTTTGTGACTTAAAGCTGATTTTCTAAAAAGATTTTTAATAGGATTTTCTAATATGATATTTGATGCTTAAGTAACAATTTATATATATATAAATATATATAATGATAATAATCATAAGAATTATTATTGTAAAAATGAAAAATAATAAAAATAACTAGTATTAGTAATATTAGCATTGTTGTTGTTAGAATAATAATAAAATATGTATAATTATAATAGTTATTATTTATAATAATAACAACAATACTACTACTAACAATTATTATTATTATATAATATTATATATACTATAATATAAATATAATATTCTAATAATAATAATTATTATTATTAATATGTACAATATTCTATATGATATAAAATAAATATTATATTTTGACAACAACAATAATAATAAAAAATAATATAATAATAATAAATATTATCATTATTATATAATAATGATAACAATAATATTAATTATAATTATTATTACAATAATAATAATTATTATAAATTATTTTAGCATTGTTGTTGGAATAAAATAATAATAATAATAATGATAATAATAATAATTATTATTATTATATATAAAAATATTTTAACCTAATCATTTTGTAAGATAATAATTGTCTTTACTTTTACTTGTGATTAATTTAATGCATACTTGCTTATTTAAATGATTAATTCATTTCAAAAGGGAAAAAAAATCTTACTGACCCCAACACTTTGTAAATATATAAATATATATACATAAAATATATAATGACAAAATACATAGCCATGGGCATTCATTTGTAAAATAAATGCGGCTGGAACTTAAAAAAACTTGAACTTGTAAATTTTAGACATTAGAACACATCAGAAATGCTTATTTTTTGGTTCACTTGATTTATTTTTCTCTCTGTTTATGTTCAGAATGGAATACTAGCATAAAATATAGTTTAATTATAATTTATCATAATACAAAATATAAGGTGCATATTATTAAAATGTTCATGTTTCTCTTAAAATAAAATGTAAAATATCATAAAATACTATGCAGTATTCCACATTAAATAACACGGTGTCACATGACCTCATCACATTGCATGCTAATCCAAGCAAGCGGCATCAAAAAGGAACTATTATTAATACAAACAAGTCTAAGAAAAGATATTAAAGAAAATCTCATGCATGTAAATAATGAGCATATCTGGAAGTAAGCCATTCTGAACATAACCAATAAAATCCACATGCTGTCGGTTTGAGCTGAAAGCACAATCTGTGTTTGAGTGTGAGTGTGTGTGTGTGTGTGTGTGTGTGTGTGTGTGTGTGTGTGTGTGTGTTATCTCAGACTGTGATGTTTTCCTCTCTTCTGAAGGGCTGTGTTCTGCTTTATTATTCATATGTAGAGTCTGATACAGGTCAAATCAGACAAAACTCATCTGATAAATCATCAGATCTGCAGAGTCACTCTGAATATTGGACTATTAATGATGCTTTTGTAATGTCAGATTGTTCAACTGTTAGATTTAGTCTAAGGCTCCACATCCCTGCATCAGAATATTTGCTCTCGGGTCTTTTTTTGTTTGTTTTTCATACCTTTTTTTCAGGCTTTAAAAGCCCTTATGTGATTTAAATGAGGGGTTTAAATACCCTACCTGACAAAAGTCTTGCCACCTATCTAAGATTTAGGAACCAGAAATAACAACTTGACTTCTAGTTGATCGTTTGGTATAAGAAGTGGCTTATATGAAAGGCAAAGGACTCTAGATTACACTTATTTTACCACAATAAAATATGATCATGCCTTGATTTTATTGATTTAATTACGACAGTGAAGTCTGACTTTGCTTAGACAAAAGTCTTGTGATTTAACAGAAATAATGTCCAGTATAGAATATAAAGTCATGCTGCAGTGGAAACAGAATGAATATTGTGTCTGACTCCATCATGAGCTTGGAGGACTGCATCCATACATCTCTGCAATGACTCAAATCAGTTCATCAACATTCTCTGGATTCATCTTCAATGCCTCCTCCTCCATCTTCCCCCAGACATGCTCAAAAATGTTCATATCTGGTGACTGGGCTGGCCAATCCTGGAGCAGCTTGACCTTGTTTGCTTTCAGGAGCTTTGATGTGGAGGCTGAAGTATGAGGAGCAGCTCTATCCTGCTGAAGAATTTGCCCTCTCTTTTGGTTTGCAATGTAATGGGCAGCACAAATGTCTTGACACCTCAGGCTGTTGATGTTGCCATCCGCTCTGCAGATCTCTCACACGTCCTCATACTGAATGTAACCCCAAACCATGATTTTTCTTTCACCAAGCTTGACTGATTTCAGTAAGAATCTTGGGTCCATGTGGGTTCCAGTTGGTCTTCTGCAGTATTTGTGATGATTGTGATGCAGATCATCAGATGATTCATCAGAAAAACCTACCTTCAGCCACTTTCCCAAATGATCAACTAGAAGTCAAGTTATTATTTGTTGCTCTTACAACT